CATGGGGATGGGGTCCCCCACAGGGCATATGGCCACAGGGAACCGCTGGGTTCTGACCAGAAAGGCCAGGAGGATGTCACTGCCCACCCACATCCTGGTGCTGTGGGCAGGAGGCCTGGCCCCACTCTGACTGAGCCACACCTGCAGTTCTCTGTCCTCTGGCCACCTCCGGTACAGCCTGTGTCACGAGACCCTGGTATCTGAGCCAAAGGAGGAAGTGGTGATCAGACGGAAGCCAATGCCGGGTCCCATCAGGTGTTGACTTGGGATCTGTCCAAGTTGCCCCAGGAAACAAGGGACATTTACAGCGTCACAGCTCATCACATTGGCTCTCCTCTGAGTCACCCTGAAAGTTCTTTTTCTTCCTGGGGATCCGGCTTTGTCAGCCTGTCCACAGGGCTGCTGGCGTACACCAGGGCAGGTAGGCCAAGCCTCAGCAAGGCCAAGGTCAGCCTGCATTTGGCCTGGCCTCCAGGACCTGGCTCGGACCATGGTGGTGTGGGGGCCCGGCTGGGGGCCGGGGAGGTGTCCACCTTCACACCCCCCTACTTTCCTCCCTTCCCTCCTAGAAGGATCCAAGGCTCCCAGGGGACAGGCCCAGCTGGAAGAGGTCATCACCACCCAGTGAAGCTGGAACTGACAAGCCCCCAGGACGCATCTCGCAGGGGCTCCCCACACAGTGGCCCCCCACACAGTGGCCATGCCAGTCTGACATGAAAGCAGAAAGAATTATGAAGAATTGTGCAGGGAGGCACTAGGAGGAGCCTCTGGGTATGAAAAAGAGAGAGAGGGAGAGAAAAGAATGTTCTTTCCTTCTCTCCTGCCTCAAGGAAGCCCCAGAGAAAACAGGGTCTGTAAACAGGTCACAGTGAACCTTGGGGCCCCAGCCAGCCTGGAGGTTTCTGTGAATAAGAAACAACTTCTCCAGCTCCTCAGTAAAAACAATGCTGCTGGAAATCCATGCTGGGTCATTAGTGTTCCCAGGGTGCAGAGGCAGAGATAAGGCTGACAATGCTGGCTTTGTACTCTCCTCTCATTAGGGCCTTGGCGACCAGGGGAGATCTTCCTCTCCTCTCTTCCAGCTGGTGTTTCTTGCAGCCAGGAACAGGTCTCAGGACCACACCACTGGGAGAGCCCCAGTCCTGGGGCTGTTCTCAGGGTGCAGAGTCCGGGAAACTGAATACTCTGCATTGAGCCAGCCACAAGCCAGAACTCAGACTCCTTCAAGACTTAAAAGTAGGATGAACAGAAAACTCAGAAAATGAAGATCCATCTCTCCTGGACAGTCTTTTAAATGATCTATAATTTTTAGAGCTAAGAGCAAGAAAAGCTGAAGAGAAGTGTGATGATGCAACAAAGAAAGCAAAGCTTTGCTTTGAATTCAGAGACTCCTCCCCCAAGTTGCTGGTCCAGGAGGCCAGGATCTATATTGGGGTGTCCCTGCCCAAACTGAGACTGTCCATGCCCTCAGGCTGTGCAGAGCCAACTCCTACATGACCCCAAGAAGCCCCTGATGTACAGGCGAGTTCCCCTCCTGCCCACGATTGTCCCTGCAGTGAGGTCCCGACCACCTGGTAGAGGGGACTTTCGGGTAATTAGTTTTCATTTTGTGTGCAAGTCACACAAAACAGAGCTGAAGCTCTGAATATGGACAGTGGACCTCCCACTTTCTCATCGCTGACTAAAGCAAAGAAGCTGATTCCCAGTCAAGCATGGCTATGCCATCGGGACAAAACAGTAACTCCCAGCACACCGGGCACCCAGCAAAGGAAAGCCCACTGTGAAATGCCACAGAAGTCATACTGAGTCAGGGTCTTGTGTGCCCCGGAGCCCGATGCGGGTCAGGCTCAGAGCTGTCACTCAGTAAATGCTTTCTGAACGAATGGAGCAGAATGCCATTTTCCAGAAACGGGGCAAGGAAGACATGATAAAGAGAACAGGATGGTAGAAGCTTGACTTCAGGGGATATTAATTTGGTCCTGTAAGTGTGTGCAAAATCTGAAAAGCTCAAAGACAAAATGGGGAATCTGCCTTGGGGTCCCCTGACTGCTTATCTTCAGTTGGGGGAGAAGGGCCCTCACTTACTGCTTGTGGATGGCTTGTCCCCCCACTCATGCAGCAGCTTTTTCCTGTCTTTGTCTCCCCCTTGCCTCCAGAGACCCTCTACAGCTTGTTCCTTCTTTCCCATGAATCTTCAACTCCCCACCCACCCACGTCCTCAGCTTAAGCCCCTGAAATAAACCCAGTCTTCTTGGGCCTCTGCCTTCTCCCACCATGCCCCAGTAGACTTTGCCACCAATCCCCTTACCTACTAACAACTCCCCGCAAAGCACTAAATGCAGTATTTGTCCAGTGCTCTTCTGACGTGTCAACCTCGTCTCCCCACTAACATGATTCCTGTCAGCCTCAGGACACTGCCGTCCTCCTGGCTTGCCTCCCAGGATCCTCAAGTAGAGATATATCATTCATTCCCTGCTATCCAGGGTCCTTTTGCACTTAGTATCCCAACCACCCCCAACAGAGCCTCATCTCCAGCCTGGATGCTCTGATGGCTCCTGGGCTCAGGGACTCCTCACTGGCCCAACACTGGGGTATCCCATGGAGACCTCCTGGGGCATCTCACTGAAGCATGTGACTATCCATCCAGACACCCACACAGGCGTTTTCATTCCCATCAGCAGCCCCTTAAATTCCTACCATGTCCCGTCCTCTTAGCTCTTCCCAGCCCTGTTGATACCACCTTTGCCCAGGGGTCCCTGTCTCCAGTCTGCACCCCTCATTTAGATAGACATGCATGGGTGGGAAAAGTAGCTGGTGAGGCTATGTTTACACATCACTTTACAAAACTGAATGAAAAGTTATCAGCAGTCCTTATCAGAGTTGGAAGGGAAGAGACAATGGCCATTACAGGGGACTAAGCCCAACTCCTCCCTGCTGGCTCCACCTGCCTCTCCCGCCCCCACCCACTGACCACTCAGCAGTCAGTGTGGTCTCTCTGTGGCATGAATCTCACTTGTCTGGTCTTGCTTTCAACACTTCAGTGGTTGATGAGGTTCTCTGGTTCCTTAGCAGGATACATGACCTAGTTCCCACTCACACCCCCACATCTCGGAGGGTCCCCTCACAAGAGCTCATAATTCCAGGCCTTTGCCCATCTGTTCCCTCTACCTGAGGGCTCTTCCTCCCTCCTCACTGGAATTGCATCAACCTCTCAGTCACGGCACATCTGAGGTCAAGCTGGCCTGGATGTCTGATGGGGAAAGGCACATCGTTAGCACCTGCTTGTCCGGGTACAGAGAGCATTCTTTGGTCAGTATGACATGACGTGATGATCACTACAAGGTCTCGTTTTCGAAAGCTGTTTCTAGTTGTAAGCGAGTGACTCATCTTATTTCTTACTCTGGTTTTCTTGCCTTCTGCCAGAGAAACCACCTCTAGAAATGCCCAGCCTGAATCCCTTCACTGCTCCTTGCCATCCGCGCTCTCCCGCGCACTTCCTCCCTGGGAAACCTGTCCGGGAACTGTGGACACAGGCTCCTCAGTGTTCCCCATCTCTTCTGCCCCTCCCCATGCACCGGCTGTTGTAAGTCCAGACCTCCACCTATTCACATGACGGTCAGGGAGGAAAGGAAATCCCCACAAGAGCAGGGACTTGCTGGGGGTTGCACAGCAAGCAATTTTGTGGGGGTGGCAGTCAGGTTCTGGAGGCCCATGACCAAAATCTAGGGATTCCCAGGCCTGAACTTCTGGAATTCCATGGCCTGTGATGCTCTGTCCCACATGCCACACTTAATTAGAAGTTATAATCCTGTAATTCCATGATGACATCTTGAACTTAAATATACCTTAAAACTACTGTCTTTTTTTTTTAGTGCTAAAAGCAATTCAACCAGATTTTAACCACTCTGTCCTCACCTATTTCCAAACACCGCACCCCACCCCTCAGTCCTACCCATCCCCAGAGGCCACTGCTTCTAGTTAGAGAGCAAAAGCCCAAAGGCTGTGTCACAAGGGAGACAGAAAAGTGCCAAAACCATTTACCCACAGGATCATCGGGCTCCGAACAATTAAGAATTGATAGTTCTGTGGGAAACAGTTTCACTTCCCTGTTTATAATTAGGTGCTCTGCCCTGGGTCATGGATGTCATAAAACAACATCTCCCAGCCCACTCAGTCAAAGCTGGCCAGCCTCCAAAGGATATTTTTAGACTCGTAAAAGACCTATAAGAAAGGGTGGAAGGTGTCACCAGGGCTGTAGGGTCCAAATCATCGGTGGACCCCACTTTGCGCCGGCCCAGTCGTTGCTGCCTGTGGGCAGCCCCGGGGCTGCTCTCCTGGGCGGCAGGTGCCCCGCAAGCCCTCACCCCGCGCCCTCTCTCCAGCAGCCAGGTAAATCCGCTTTAGCACAAGGAGAGAAGGCGCCTCACGAGTCCGCGGCCGCACCGCTCCTGCGCTCAAGCCCTTCTGAGCTACAGGTGGTAGAAGGGGCGACGCCCGAGGTCACGTCCCGCTAGCAGCTCACCCCGCTCCTTAGAAGCGGTCGCTGGGGGCATTCGACAGGAGTCAGCGACTCGCTGGAGGTGGACCTTTATCTGCGCCCCCCGGGGCAAGCACTGGGGGAAAGCAGAGCTCGGGTTCCAGGGCGCCGCGGGGTCGAGGCACCCGATCCCCTAGAAACCGGTCCCTTTCCCAGGCGCTCAGGATCACCGGTGGGGCGACCCCGAACACCCGTCCTGGGCCAGCCTCCGCTGGCACCTGCGTGGGACGGCCCCTGGAGCACCCCTCTCTGCGAGCCCCGGAAGTCACCTGCTCCCCAACAGCCGAGAACCGCCGCCTCGGCCCGCACCCCCGGCCTCCGTGCCTCCCGCCCCGGGCCAGCGCGCTACCCCCTCCCCCTCGCGGTCCCGCCGACCCGGGCCCGCGCTCCCGCTGCCCCCTGCACCGCTAGGGGTGAGTGGGCCTGGAGCCCGCAGGCTGCCCGCCTGCCCGAAGCCACCCACCTTCCGAAAGTAGCCGTCGCCCTCCTTTTCCAGCGGCTGGGGGGCCGCGGGCAGCAGTGTGTCGGTCATGC